TATTTACTCTCTAAACTCCAAGCAACCACTGATCTGCTGTTTGTTATAGTTCTTTTTATTCCTGAGTAATATTCTGTTGTGTGAATATACCATAATTGGTATGCCTGTCTGCTGATGGACATTTGAGTAGTTTCCAGTTGGAAGTTATTATGAATAAAAACTCTATAAACATTTGTGTTTAAGTCTTTGTGTAGACATATGCAGTTGACCCTGGAACAATGCAGGGGTTAGGAGTGCCTACTCCCTATGTACTCTAAAATCCTCATATAGCCTTTGACTCCCCAAAAATGTTAACTACAAACACCTTACTGTTGACTGGAAGCCTTTCCAATAATATAGTCAATTAACACATATCTTGTATTTTACACATATTATATACTGTATTCTTATAATAATGTAAGCTAGAGAATAGAAAATATTAAGAAAATCAAAAGGAAGAGAAAATACATTTACTATTCATCAAGTGGAAGTGGATCATCACAAAGTTCTTCAACTTTGTCATCTTCACATTTGGACTAGGCTGAGAAAGAGGAAAAGGAGGGGTTGGTTTTGCAGTCTCATCTCAGAGGTGGCAGAGGTGGAGGAGGCGAAGGAGAGGAAAGAGAAGCAGGCACACTTAGTGTAACTTTACCAAAAACATTACACTTTTCTGACATTTTTCCGTTTTCATTTCTTTAAGAATGTTTCCATATAGGACCAATTCTACTACCACCTTTTGCTTTAGTTTTAGTGCCCATATCACAGAAGGGTCCATGCTGTAAAATAAGTCAAAAGCAGTCTTGAATAATCAGAATCATTCCACCAGACTGTGTAAAGTTAACTTGTTTTCTGGCACTGCTTCTTTGTCTTCCACATCATCTGGCACTGGTTTGGGGGCACTCGTCTCCATCAAGTCATCTTCTGTTAATATCTCTGGTAGGGTGTTTAATAGCTTTTGAATTTCTCCAAGAGTCACACCTTGTAACCCTTCATCCCCTACTCTTTTTTTTTTTCCTCTGTATTCACATCTCTTTCATGATTTCCTTGATTGGCTCTATCATAAATCTTGTGAAGTCATGTACAACATCTGGACACAGTTTTCTCTAGCAGAAATTTATTATTTTGGGTTTGATGGCTTTCACGGCTTTTTCTACAACAAAAATGGCATCTTCAATGGTGTAATCTTTCTAACTTTCATGATGTTCTTTCAGGGTTCTCTTCCATAGCACTGACAATCCTTTCCATTGAGTACCATGTGCAATGAGCCTTAAAAGTCTTTATCATACCTTGATCTGGAGGCTGAATTAGAGATACTGTTGGAGGCAAGGAGACCACTTCCACACCTTCAGTGTTGAACTCATGAGGTTCTGGGTGGCCAAAGGTACTGTCCAGTATCAAAAGAACTTTAAAAGAAGGTCCTTTACTGGCAAGGTACTTCCTGACTTCAGGGACAAGGCATTGGTAGAACCGATCCAGGAAAAAAAAAGTTCTCTTTGTCTAGGCCTTCTTGTACAAATCAAAATAGCAGGTAGTGTTTATTTTTTCCCTTCAAGATTTAGGAGTCAGTGGCTTTACAGGTAAAGACAGTCCTGATCATAAATCCCACTGCATTTGCACAAAACAGTAAACTTAGCTTACCCATTCCTGCCTTAAATTCTGGTGCTTGCTTCTCTTCCTTACTAAAAAATGTCCTTTGTGGTTCCCCCAACTCCACTCCTGCCACAGAATACGGCACTTTCACCTGCATTAAAGAGCTGTACAGGCAGATATCCTTTCTCCTCAATGATTTTCTTAATGGCATCTGGGAATTCATTTGCTGCCTCTTCCTTGGCAGAAGCTGCTTCGCCTGTTATCTTGACATTTTTAAAGCCAAAGCTCTTTCTAAAATTATCAAGCCATCCTTTGCTGGCATTAAACTCCAGCTTTATATTGTTCACCTTCCTTGTGCTTTAATTTGCCATATAATGACTTCACTTTTACTTGAATCATATTAGTGTTTATATGATTTACTTGAATCATATTAGTGTTTATATGTTTATATGATGTCTTTCTTACAGCAATCCTGCATCCAACATAAAAGCTGTATTTTCAACAGGAGATGAAAAGGTACTATGTAAAATGTGCAAGCTTTTCCACCTGCTGGTGTAGTAACAGTGGAAGCTTCACAAATTTTTTTTCCATACTGGTCCCTAGAATGGATTTACTTGTCTTGGAATGGTGGGCAACCACAGTTACAGACCTCAGTCTATGGCATGTATAAAGCAATTCAACCTTTCCTTTTACTGTTACAACTTTTCTCTGCTTCTTGGGAGCCTTTTCAGCATCACTAGTGGCACTTTGAATGGGTCTTACTGGTGTTATTCAAGGTTTATGGTACTGCACTAAACACAATGAGAAATACACCAGAATTGTAAGAATCATTTTTTATTGAAATACACAATTTACTGGAAAGGTGAACTGCTCACACAGAGATGATTAGTGTCACATGGCATTTTAAGCATATTCCCAACATTTGAGCTCACTGCAGTAGCAACAGACTATGAAATTGCTGTAGTGGTATAATATTAATATGTACCACAGTTAACTTTATGCAGTTACAATTTAATATCGCATCTTTATGTTTGTTTACATTTCTCTCAACTGCAGATGGTGCTATGTACAGTCTACAAGTGTTTTTGTAAGTTTTGATAAATTTTAACTTTTTATAATAGATTTCTATGTTTTATGGTAGCAAATAATAAAACAAACTATTATCTATGTATTTTTATTCATTCATGACATACCTAAGTTTGTCTTATTTTATTGCTATTTCTATGTTTTGTAGTTCATGTTTTTCAAATTGTTGCAAATCTCCAAAAAAGTTTCCAATACATTTACTGAAAAAAATCTGTGTATAAATATACTTATGCAGTTCAAACCTGTGCTGTTCAAGGGTCAACTGTACTTTCATTCTCTTATGTAAAGATCTAGAAGTAGAATTGTTGGGTTGTAAGGTAGATGCATATATCCTTTATTTTAGTATATAAGTCTATTGTTCACTTTTATGGATTTTCATGAGCCTGTGAACTTTGGCAATGACCAGTACAGATTTACACATCTATAATTTCCTGCCTGAGAAATCCTCATAGACAACCCAATTTCTTGCTCAAAGTGATGATCAATAAATGGCTGTTGTTTATGACTTCATAGGTTAATCTCCATCTTCCTAGAAGGTATATCAGAATTAAGGAACTTCTCCAGGTTGCATTACATTCTCCACCTCTTCTCCTCCCCTCAGCCCTCCATGGCTCCTGAGTTCCAATTCTACATCCTCACCTCCCTGTTTATAACTGTTGTCAGTCCTGGCTAATGATGGGAGAGTGGCTATATCCAAGTGTGTTGGGCCAGAATATAAAGTAAAGAATCACTGATATTGGCAATAATGCCACAGCCAAGGGAATATTTAAGGAAGGAGACTTGGCAGCAATAGGTAAGACAGTGCTTGTAAGAAGAGACTAGGGGCAGGCACCCAAGGCATCAGAAGCTTTAAATTCTGTGCTCAGTTTAATCTCAACAAATTCAGATAAAATATCTGTCATAAAACTTATTATTAATTAAATAAGTTTGTCAGAAGCTATTAGAAAATTATGCTATAAAAAAGAAGAGTATTTCTTATAAAGCAGATATATACTTGGTACCTTTCCAGAAATACCTAAGTTTTAAAAACCTTTTAATCTGAATTATCTTTCTGAAAATGCATTGAATTTTGTCTCAAAACTCTAAAGCTAGTCTGAAGATGGACAATTCTATTTGATCCCAAATCAGTATCTCCCCCATCATCCTCAAATAGTGTTCCATTTTTCACAGAGATTTTCAAATAATGTATCCCTTATTAGTAATGTTCCTAAAGAAAGTGAGATTGTTAACTTAATTCTCATACTTTAGACTGTACTAAAATGACTTGAAGAGTAAGCCACAATTTGGGAGCAAAAGATTCAATTAGATTTCAGCACTGCAGATACACTTTAATGAGCCTTATTGTGGGGTCTCTGTCATCAGATTTGATAACCATTGTCCTGTGGAATGATTAGAGGAACAAGTGCCAGTACTTAATTTCACAATATATTCTTGCAATGATCTAGGGCTTGACAATGCATTGTGGAGCTCACTTTTAATGTCACTACCCTACTAAGATATTTAGCTAAGCCTAAGTCTGTCTTAACCATCTATTATTCTATATAACACATGGAATGAAATTCATCATTCAGTAACAGCAGCACCTGTAACACTCCTGAAGTGTTACTATACTACATTTAGAGTTGGCTAATATTCATACAAGAAATAGACAGGAATTACAATCATATGAAGTCAAAACAAGCATTATGGGGGCCAAGGACCTTTACTTATAGCTTATAAATAATTTTTCTTTTTCTTCACATTTCATAGCTGTATCAGTCACTCTCTAATGTTAATATTCAAATTTACTACTAGAAACATAGGTTCAGGTTTTAAAGATTTAAAATATCTTGTCATGAAATCACATTTTTCTTTTATTCAGATCAGAATATTTCTCAAAAGGTTCCTAAAACACGTAACTTGGAAGTTGATACGGTTTGGTTGTGTCCTTACCCAAATCTCATCTTGAATCGTAGTTTCCATAATCCCCACGCGTCCTGAAAGGGGCCTGGTGGAAGGTAACTGAATCGTGGGAGCAGTTACCCCCATGCTGCTGTTCTCATGATAGTGAGTGAGTTCTCATGAGAGCTGATGGTTTTATAAGGAGTTTCCCCCCGCTTTTACTCAGCACTTCTCCTTGCTGCTGACATGTGAAGTAGGATATGTTTGCTTCCCCTTCCGAATGACTGTAAGTTTCCTAAGGCCTCCCTACCCCTGTGAAACTGAGTCAATTAAACCTCTTTCTTTTATTAATTACCCAATCTCAGGTAACTCTTATAGCAGCGTGAGAACGAACTAATACCGAAGTCACTTGAAGAAGGATCAGTAAACACCAGTAATGAATTAAAAATATCTCATCTTCTTACCTGATGAAGTTTAATGGACATACGGATCCCAGGGACTACTACTTTCCTTAGCAATTCCATGTCAGCAAAGATCCATTCATCTCGAATTGAAGAAATACGGAAATCTCCTTTAAATAGGGCATGCAATCCATAGAGGAATGACTCTAAATTACTGTTAAGATTGGAGATAAAAGTTCACATGTTTTGACAAAGGTCTTCCATGACACTGATTCCTACATCTGGGTGTGCATCAGAATCACCTGGGAGTGTTTTGAAAATACAGCTTCCAGGAACTAACATCAGAACCCTGAACGAGAATCACAAGAGATAGGGCCTGTTCAACCTGGGACCCTTATTTATGAACCACTGTAACAGTGAGTCCAGGAAAATAAACAATAGGCAAAGAGCCTATAAGTTAAAATAAATTAAGAAAAGCTTAAGGGAAAACATGTAGTTATTAAAGAAAAAATTTAAAATATGTGGTATTTCTTAATTCTGATTCATTTGGATGTATATGTTAGGAAATCCAGTTTAGATTTAGAGTTTCCAAATCTAATATATGACTATGTCAAAAGTATAAACACCCTGGACAAAGACTGCAAGGAAATATGAAAAAATAGAAATAAATGAATTTATTTAAAAAATAGATGTAAACGGGAGGAGACCAATCAAAATTCATGGGGTGGTTATATTTTAAAATGTCTTAAATTCATTATATTCTCATTATCAGCGGTTACCCACATGTGTGTGAATTTTTTGTTGTTGTTGTTCTTATTGCCCAGGGTGGAGTGCAGTGGTGTGATCATGGCTCACTACAACTTCTGCTTCTTGGGTTCAAGTGCTTGTGCCTCAGCCTCCTGAGTAGCTAGGACTACAGGCACTCAGCCATCACCATGCCCAGCTAAATTTTATATTTTAGTAGAGATGAGGTTGCACCATGTTGGCCAGGCTGGTCTCAAACTCCTGACCTCAGGTGATCCACTCGCCTCGGCCTCCCAAAGTGCTGGGATTACAGGTGTGAGTCACGATGCCCAGCCACATGTGTGAATTTTAAAAACCAGTTCTGTTAACCAGTTAGGACAACTCAACTATGTCTAAGAAGATGTTATATAGAGGCCGGGCGCTGTGGCTCATGCCTGTAATCCCAGCACTTTGGGAGGCCGAGGCGGGTGGATCACAAGGTCAAGAGATTGAGACCATCCTGGTCAACATGGTGAAACCCCGTCTCTACTAAAAATACAAAAAATTAGCTGGGCATGGTGGTGCGTGCCTGTAATCCTAGCTACTCAGGAGGCTGAGGCAGGAGAATTGCCTGAATCCAGGAGGCGGAGGTTGTGGTGAGCTGAGATCGCGCCGTTGCTCTCCAGCCCGGGTAACAAGAGCGAAACTCCATCTCCAAAAAAAAAAAAAAAGAAGATGATATATAGAAATATAAAATCTAAAAAGACTTAACAATAAAGTAGCATAGAATACATGCTTCCATGAAAAATGATTTTAGATTTAAGTTATACAGCTTCCCATACTCTCTTCCTCAGAACAAAATGCCTTCTTTACCTGGACATATGATGGGATGCAGTCCCCAGAGCTCTCCGTCCAAGTACACAGAGTCCATAACAGAGAGTCACCAGGGAAGAATCTTTGTCCACATCCAGTGGCTTTAAAAAACAAAGAACATTAGTTTTCAGAAAGGTATGGAAGTATTTAACAAATCACAACTCTAATTAACATAGAATCATAAAAAATTCAAAAAGTACATAATTTCTATCCCTCAAAATAAGTTTAGTAATAAAACAGTATGAAATGAAGCATGAATGTGTATGGGGATACACATATCCTTAATAAAATCTAAAATTTCCTAATAATGGAACATAATTAAAACAAAAAACTGACAATATTATATTAGGATTTTAGCTAAAGATTTCAAAGTACTTACTGAGATTATTGATATCACCCTCTTCCGAAAATACGATATTTCTATTAGCTACTTATTTTTTTTTCTCATTTCTGACCATAACTTGAAAGCAGGCTATTAGTGGCAGCTGTGTTTGCCTATTAGTGACTAGTAAAGAAAATCAAGTTGATATTCATAAAATAATGTTTCCCATCAAAACCTTTTCATTTTTTAACAATTGCATACCTTACAATTGAAAGAAGCTAGTAACTCTCCTCCGTTTATCCCTCTAAGAAAGCCCAAATAATAATCACTGATCACCTTATATAATACTAAAGAGCAGTATCTTAGTTACCAGAAAAAACAATCGAGGGCAGTGCTTCTCAAAGTATAGTCCTAAGACAAACAGCATTAACATCACCTGGAAACTAGTTAGAAATGCAAATCTCTGGCCACTCCAGATCTCTGAAATCAAATTCTGGAGGTGGAGTTCAGCAATCACTCTTCAGGTGATTCTAATGCATGCTAAAGGTGAAGAATCAAGGCTGGGCGAGGTGGCTCAAGCCTGTAATCCCAGCACTTTGGGAGGCCGAGGCGGGTGGATCACGAGGTCAAGAAATCGAGACCATCCTGGTCAACATGGTGAAACCCCATCTCTACTAAAAAATACAAAAAATCAGCTGGGCATGGTGGCACGTGCCTGTAATCCCAGCTACTCAGGAGGCTGAGGCAGGAGAATTGCCTGAACCCAGGAGGTGGAGGTTGCAGTGAGCCAAGATCGCGCCATTGCACTCCAGCCAGGGTAACAAGAGTGAAACTCTGTCTCAAAAAAAAAAAAAAAAAAAGTGAAGAATCAATGATACAGGCTAATAATTAGCTTAATTATTCTAACATTGCCAATGGTATTTATTTTTTGCTTTATAAACCATTAACTTATAAACACAATAGGGGAGCGGTCTAAGATATAAACTTACTACTGATTGGTTAATTGTCATTAACTCAATAATTTAATTAATGGCAACTGTCTTAGAGATGTCCTAGTTGCTTGCTAGTTAGATTGTTTCTAAAGATGTATTACCTCGTATAGCACCTAGTCTAGTTTCATCAAGTAGGCATTTTGAAAAAAATTTGAGGTCCAGGATACAAAACAGTAAATAAAGAGTATGAGAGCACTAGTTTGAAGAAATACAAGAAAAAATAAAAGAGAGTGGATGTAGACTTGAAGCTGTATAAAGAAAAAATACTAACGGTAGTTACAATGGGTGATTTTCATTCTTTTTTTCTTCTTCCCTATCTCCCTTCCCCTGTCAACTTTATGGGGTAAAAATGTATTGTTTCTGTGATGAGAATTGTTTTTTTAATTCAGTTCAGCTTTACCTCTGTCAAGATGATGCAACAGAGACCACATTTACCCCGTACTTGAAATAGCCAAAAAACTGGGCAATACACATGAAACAACAGTTTTCAGTCACTGGACACTAGTCCCCAAGAGACAGGAAAAAAAATGAGGTAGCCTTACAATTGACTGAGCTTTCTACCTAGAGAGTTTCCAGACCACAGCAAAAGAAAGGGGAGCACAGATTGAGCCAGAGGCCTCGGAGTCAGCTGGAGCTCACAGGGCAGAATGCTAGAGAGGAGAGAACAAGGCGAGGGTACTTGGAGATCTGCAATAGAGTGCTGATAAGCACACGCAAAGAGGACCCAAGACTGATAAAAGAATCATCTGAAAAGAACAGGAAGGAACAATGAAAAACCTTGGCTAGAACACTGAGGATGTATTGTCTTGGTCATGGGGAAGAATTAGCCCCAGACTAACAACTGCTCTGGTCCCTGCAAAGCAAGCCCTGAAAGAATCAAACTGTCTCCAAAGAATTTAAGTGTGTTACAAAACAAAGTTCAAGGATTAGTTACAGAAATACATAAATATCCACCACCCTTGAGGGTAAAATTAATCAAGTCTGGCATCTAATAACAAAATTGACAGGCATGCAAGTAGCAGGTAAACAGGACCCATAATAAGAATAACAATCAATTAACCACTCAATCAAAACTGACCCACAACTGACACAGATGTTAGCAACTATTTTAACTATATTCCATAAGCTCAAGAAGGCAGAGGAATAACTGAGCAAGTTAAATGCGGCAAGAGTTGTAGAAAGGTCCTAAATCAAACTTCTAAAGATAGAAAATGAAGCAATGTCTGAGATAAAAAGTATACTGGGTGGGATCACTGGCATACTAATTCAGAAGAAAAGATAAATGATCTCAAAAACTTAGCAACAGAAACTATACAAGATAAAATAGAGAAAAAGGACTGAAAATAAATGAACAGGGTGTCAGGGAGCTGTAGGATAATCGAGCAGCCTAATATAAATATAATTGGAGTTCTTGCAAAAGGGGGAGAGGAAAACAGAAAAAGCTGTTTTTAATAATGATGGAGGGAGCGCCTTGGAGTAATCCAACTCCAATCCTTGTTGATAAGAACAGAGAACCGGGCACCTGTATGGCTACTAAGGATAGGCTGAAGCTGGGGTCTGGGCCTTATGACTGAGAAGACTGTTAAAGCAAAAACTGTCTATTCCTGCCTCGATGGCACCTATCCAGAAGTAGAAAATTGCTCCCCTTTTAATCCTACAGATTTTGAAGAATTCTGACCTGCCCGAGGAGCACCAGATTGCATACCTCCCCTCGAATGGAGTGCCTCTGGTGGTTCTGGATGGGGCAGAGAACTGGAAAAGCTGTTACCACTGGGGTCTCCCCTCACCAGGGAAGATGCCCTCTCTACCACAGGAAGCCAGTTTGTTGCAGTCTCCTTTAGTCATTCTGTTGACCATGAATGTTTGCTTATGACAAAGATATTTATATTTCTTAGTGCTTTATAGTTTGTTTGTATTAATAAAACATTTCTTTAATACATTTTTTTTAATGATGAAAAGTCCCCAAATCTGAAGAAAATGATGTACCTACAGAGTCAAGAATCTCAATGGACTTCAAGAACAAGAAACAGGTGGCTGGCAAAATGGCCCAATAGGAACATCTCTAGTCTGCAGCTCTCAGCGAGATCAACACAGAAGGTGGGTGATTTCTGCATTTCCAACTGAGATACCTGGTTCATCAGGGACAGGTTAGATAGTAGGTGCAGCCCATGGAGGGCTAGCTGAAGCAGGGCATTGCCTCACCTGGAAAGCGCAAGGGGTCAGAGAACTCCCTCCCATAGCTAAGGGAAGATGTGAGGGACTGTGCCATGAGGAACAATGCCCAGATACTACACTCATACCAGGGTTTTCACGACCCACAGACCAGGAGATTCCCTCAGGTGCCTACACCAGCAGTGCCCTGGGTTTCAAGCACAAAACCGGGTGGTCATTTGGGCAGATACCGAAGTAGCTGCAGGAGCTTTTAATCATACCTCAGTAGAACCTGGAACACCAGTGAGACAGAACCATTCACTCCCCTGGAAAGGGGGCTGAAGCCAGGGAGCCAAGTGGTCTAGCTCAGCAGATCCCACTGCCACGGAGCCCAGCAAGCTAAGATGCACTGGCTTGAAATTCTCGTTGCCAGCACAGCAGTCTGAAGTCGACCTGGGACAGCTGGAGCTTGGTGGGGGGAGGGGCATCCACCATTATGGAGGCTTGAGTAGGCGGTTTTCCCCTCAATGTGTAAACAAAGCCACTGGTAAGTTAGGACTGTCTGTCCCTTAGCAGAGCCCTAAAGCAGTGCCACAAAGCCACTGTAGCCAGACTGCCTCTCTACATTCCTCCTCTCTGGGCAGAACATCTCTGAAAGAAAGCAGCCCCAGTCAGGGCTTATAGATAAAAGTCCCATCTCCCTGGGACAGAGCACCTGGGGGAAAGGGGAGCTGGGGGCGCAGCTTCAGCAGACTTAAACATTCCTGCTGGCTGGCTCTGAAGAGAGCAGCGGCTCTCCCAGCACAGCACTCAAGCTCTGCTAAGGGACAGACTGCCTCCTCAAGTGGGTGCCTGACTGCTTTACCTCCTGACTGGGAAACACCTCCCAGCAGGGTTCGACAGACACCGCATACAGGAAAGCTCCACTGGCATCTGGCGGGTGCCTCTCTGGGACAAAGCTTCCAGAGGAAGGAACAGGCAGCAATCTTTGCGGTTCTGCAGCTTCCACTGGTGATACCCAGGCAAACGGGGTCTAGAGGAGACCTCCAGCAAACTCCAGCAGACCTGCAGCAGAGGGACCCGACTATTAAAAGGAAAACTAACAAACAGAGAGGAATAGCATCAACATCAACAAAATGAATGTCGACACAAAAACCCCATTCGACGGTCACCAGCATCAAAGAACAAAGGTATGTAAATCCGCAAAGAGGAGGAAAAACCAGCACAAAGAGGCTGAAAATTCTAAAAATCAGAACACCTCTTCTCCTCAAAGGGATCACAACTCCTTGCCAGCAAGGAAATAAAACTGAATGGAGAATGAGTTTGATGAACTAACAGAAGTAGGCCTCAGAAGGTGGTAATAACAAACTCCTCTGAGCTAAAGATGCATGTTCTAACCCAATACAAGGAAGCTAAGAATCTTAAGAAAAGGCTAGAGGAATTGCTAACTAGAATAAATAGTTTAGAGAAGAATATAAATGACAAAGCTGAAAAACACAGCACGAGAACTTCGTGAAGCATACACAAGTATCAATAGCTGAATTGATAAAGCAGAAGAAAAGATATCAGAGATTAAAGATGAACTTAATGAAATAAAGCGTGAAGACAAGATTAAAGAAAAAAGAATAAGGAACAA